CCCCCTGAAGGAGGATGGAAGTGCATCTCCCGACAACGCGGCAAACTCGCTGCACCCGCTGTCGCCGTTTCGCAAGAAGGGATGTCTCTGCCACGAGAGAGAGGAGATCCCCATACCTGAGGAAACTGATCCTCGGATTACCTTTTATTCCGTGGTCTGCTGCAAAAGTGTCTTTTAACGATTCGCATGGTTGAGATAACGAGAGAGATAATATCGAAAATTTGTTTCTTAAAGTAAGAACATTAAACGCTATTTCATTGACTTCTGTGAACTTAGCACCTCCATCACAAACAAGTTCGATTATATGCCATAATTAAGTGCTCATTTATTGCTAATTTATTGCTCCAGTCAAATTTATGGCTCCTACCCATTCGCAGGAAATTAATATTAAAAGTAGAATGCCAACTTCATGTTATGTTAACATCTTCACTCCCGAAAAACACGTAGAAAATATTGTAAAAAAATACCAAAAATTTTTGCTATTTTTTTCTAGTTTTAAGATACTGCAAAGAAACATCGAGAATTATGAGTAATTGTGTACCTTAAAACAGAAAAAAGACAATTAAATAATTTATTACAATAAATCGATTATTTCACAAAAAATAAAGATTGCCATTTTAATAATTCGTCACGAGTCTATAATAATTAAGTACAGGATAACGTTAACGTCATTATAAGTAATTGTGCCTTTCACAGATATAATTACATATGTATATCGTTTCCTCAATATTCTTACGATAAAGAATTAGAAAAGCAGCTCGACAAATGAAGCAAATATCGATATGCGCGGTCAAGGAGGTGAAGGAAGTGACTTATAAATTTCTACCATAAAAAAACACGTTGCTCGCAAACTTATTCCCGATGATAATGAGGTGAATGGTAAATTATCGTCACAAAACAGTGCCAATCGCGGTGTAGTAATAGCTCGGAATATGCTGGTATAATAATAAAAGCGCACTTTCGTTTCGTTCTTAATACCTCGCTTCCGATATCGTTGCATGTCGCGATTTAACGTAACGGTGTACCAAAAGAAATTAATTGAGAACTAACGGTCGGTATATATATATACGCAAGCCGCGGTAATTATACAGGAAGTTTCTTTTAAACCTTCATCTACACTATTATTTTTAGATTCTTAAAATAGATTTTTCATAAACATGCATCAGAATATTAATTCTAAAATGTATGCAATCGAGAATGAGGAATTAAATATGAAATGCACGAAAGCTATAACGAAAGTTTTATTAATTGATAATAAACTTTGAAAGGTGTAAAAGAAAAAAGAGAAATGTTCTTAAATTATACGAAAAATTTATAAAATATATTAAAGATGTGATGAAGAAGATTTCGAAATATACCCACTATATAGTTTTATATCGAGGAAGTGGCGTCCTGTTCGCCGTTTATTAATGACCTTAAGTCACCTCCGTACTATTACTTTACGAAAAAAAAGGTAAAAACGAGTGGAAGAGCGGGAGGGACGGAAAAACGGGATCTACCGGAAGCAAGCGGGCCGGCAACCCCGTTGCCTGTAAAATCAGCGCCCGCTAATCATCCAATCGCGTAATTGCACACGCGCGCGGCCGCATAAGATCGACGGTAATTAACGATGCTGAGTGCGGCCGTGAGGATTTTCGCAAGGATTATTGATAATGACACGGTTAGTCGCGCTCATAGCGGAACGAACGCAGGAACGGAAAAATGCATCGGCGAGCATGTAAACGCTGCTCGTTACATCACGGGTGTTATTAGCACAACCCTTTTCATATCGGTTCAACTGCTTCCGAGAAAAGAATTTCGGGAAAAGCAATAAAATTCAAACGTGAAATAAACAATATATAAGATAATTTCTCAATTTCTATACAAGAAATGACTTTCTATTTAATTTTTATTGAGGAAATCGAATGCGCCAGAATAAAACTGTTTTGTCGGTCAAATGAAACTGGAAAATAACGCTAAAGAAATAAATGTTGGTAATATCTGACATTTAAATACTGAATCATTGTAACGAATGAGTGAAGGTGAAGACGATTCATTTTCGACGACGATCAGGCATTACGGCGCGATGCACGGCGAGGTGCGCCGATTGGCAGCCTGACATTTGTATGCAACAGGTTATTAGAGATAGGTCGTTACGCTACTTTATGGCTGGCAGTTAAAGGGCTCGCGCGAAAAATGCACTTCGACGTGTTTTTAGGACGGGTTAATTATCCGCGTTTTCAACGCTCGCAACACATTCGACGTTGCGATGAATACGTCGCTGTGTTATTTGTACGTGCGGCAACATATCTGGACCTTAATGGTAGTCGCAAGTTTTTTTTTACACGTTAGTTGAGTAATTTCTTTCTCTTTCCTGGTTTTGCAACGTTACTTTGTGGGAAGTAACAAGTTACAGTTAGCAAGTGCGGCGTTAATGCAGCCGTCCCTCCCTCAGCTCCCCGATAATAACTCTATTTTGTACGAAAAAGTGTTCGATTGATTTAATAATACGCCTACTATTGATTTAATTATATACTCATTATTATTAGAATGCAGCAAAATGCGTAAGATTATCAAGAAACTGATCACTGAAACGAAATAAGATTGATATTGCGAGACGATAATATTTTTTTTTTTTTTACGAAAGAGCAATCATAAAAGGAAAATAAAATAGTACACAAAAAGGAAGAAGCTGCTATCGGTGAACCACATTTTTCGAGCTTTGTGAAACGAGAAACGCGTCCTCACCTCGCCGTTCTCCATGGGGGTTTGTCTCGAGTGCTGGCTGGTGCATATGACCTCGTCGTCGGCGATGTAAACGGGTTTGCCCGCGGCAGGCGATGCCGAATATCTCGTCCAGCATTCCCCATCGCTCGGCGCGTAATACTGCCACGGCTGGAAGTTCTCGCCGTCCAGAGATCTCTCGAGGATCCAGGCCGCGGGTCTCGGCGAGTTCGCGGCCTTCACTATCACGTACTCTATTTGATAGACCTGAAAATATATAAGTATAACGCAAAGGTCAGCATAATAGACGCAATTATATCACTAGTGTGTGCGTGTACAATTTCCTAACCGATTATAAAATTATAAAACAACACATTGTAAAGATCAACATAGCGCAATAATATCGCACTTGAGCGTATAATTGATAATTCGTGGTTTAAAAGTTTCGTGGCTTAGAAAGGGAAAGTCCCCGTGTTCTCTCTACACCCGCGACTCCTGATCGTGCCACGTTCCTCTCGTTGCAGGTCGCGCCGAGATAAAAATCAAGCGAGCTCAATGCCGGAGGCCGGATTTGCAGGTCTCCCGCGGCTCGTCGGATATCCCGCCGAGAACCCGAGATCTCTCGGCGACGGATAATTAATTCCAAGCGACCGCAGATCGCGCGCCGAACTAGTTAGGTGCACCCATCGACGCGACGAATAGGCGAACACAATGATCGTTATAATGCGCCGCTGCGTCAATCTCTCTATCTTCTCCTCGCCATCGATCGTATACGCGCTCCCGGGAGGGAAAAAAATATCGTGCACCATACAGAGAGGCGGATGTTGAAACTTTTGTCTGCGCGTTCGGAATGCGTGAACCGCGATTTTACACGCAGCCCGGGTAGACAAGCGATGAAAATTGGCCGCTACTCGCTATTAGCGCTACCTTCTTTCGCCTGCCTTATTATTACCTTCCCATTGTTCGCACGTTAAAAATATGTATGAATCGATAGTTAAATACTCTATGTGCACACTATGTATAGATACCCCACGCTGTCTCTCGTGTCTCGATGTCGGACGTAAATGGCGCAAATACGAATTTAAAAATACAATCTGGCGTAGCAAATCGCGGCGCGCACGTAGGCGAGTATTACATTACAGCTAGGATGCTTCGTTGAATACTAGGCACGTGAATGATACTATGAATGTATCGTACGTTATTATCTTTACATAACGCACGATGTTACGTGATATTTTAGACGAGCGCTTCTTCAGATAAATTAGTATAATTTAGTATAATTTAGTGTAATAATTTTAATTATATTGACGAATACGTTTTAATTAGTAAAGAAAGAGAAAGACAGCCGGAGAACAAGAAAGAGACTTTCAATTTTGATTTAAATTAGATAACTTATTCTCTTCCTCTCATTTATATGAAGACGTCAAACGCTATAATACTTTTTTCAAGTCCCGAGCGTGCGTGAGGATGTGCAGTCGCATGCATCTCCGACTGCAGTCGTGATTTAACAAGACGGCGGAGTCCTTCATCCTGCCGTCGAGCGGCGGCCGCGTCTTTGTCGTTGCCGTTGTCGCTGTCGTTGTCCTCGTTGTGTCGTCGTTACGCCGGCATTGTGAGAGACCGGACCGACGCCCACTTTCGGACCATAAAGACAGATCGCATGTCCGCGATACCCGGCTTCGTTTCCTTCTAAGGACTTCGTCCGGAACGGGCCGATTCGGGCCCGTGGAGAAGCCGGCTTCAATTATCCGGCCCTTTTACCTCGTAGACGAGGATATACGCGCGGCGCGGCACACCGCGTGTATAGCGAGTGTGCGGGGGATCGCCTTTAGGCATTAGAGAATCATTACATCGGCGATCGAGAGGCGATCTTTAATTTGCGCGACCAATGAGCCTGCCCGTGAATTATACGACGTATTGACGTGACGGGAAAGTATTAACGAGGATATAACCCGTCTCGTTTAGCGTTGCGGAATGTGCAAACGAATATATATGGCAGCAACAGCAGCAGCAGCAGCAGCAGCAGTGCCGAGGCCGCAGGGGGATACGCGTTTGCACGCCGACATTGTTATGACAGGAGCAAGGGAAAAAGGGAAAGCGTTACGAGGCAGTCTCTTCCCGAGGCTTCCCTGCCTTTTACCAGCTAAATATTTGCGTTGGCCGCGCACATGCTCCTCCGGTTTCCAGAGTTCGCCATCGGCATATCGCGTGCCGCCGTCATATGGGGTAGGTCATAAGCAAAGCCACGAATGCATTACTGGCTCAAGGTTGCCCCCTTCCGGCCCCCGAGGGGGTATTGGGTGTTCCACGCGGACGGTGTATACTAGAGTTACAGAGTTTATCGCGCCAGCGCACGACAGAATTATCGAAGGATGAGGCGTGTTTAAGCGAACGAACGACCGCGTACGTGCGTGCCTGACTAACTACGAAACAAACCGTCGTCGGGCTGCCATTAAAGGAGAATAAACAGAAACTAGAAGTTAAATCGGGAAACGCGAATGGAGTCGCTGCCACTAGAAGTGGCATTCACATTCTAGCTTTAATGTGCTTTTGCATTCTCATGTTTCTCAAACATAAAAATCAGTATAAAACTACATACGAAAAATTACTTTAGTATAATAAATCAAGAAATTTTTCAGAAATATTATAATTCTTATATTATAATATATAATTCATATGTACAATGAAAATGTAATTTTTATATCTTTTTTTTTTTCAAGCTTGAAGATTGAATTGGATAATTAAAATTGAATATATTTTTAGAATCTTTTTGTTGACGAAAGATGTAATTTATTTTTTTTTTTAGCATTTTCCGTGTTTATTTTCGGAAACGACATAATCGCATGCAGCAAAACGGCTCACATTATCGCGTGAAAGCCCGTCGATACTTCGTGGATCGCGTTAAGAAAAGGTGTTCCAGGGCGGAACCTCTTGATTCGAGGGGTATTGCGTTCGGTAGAGTTAGCGCGTGTAAATACTAGGCGGAATATAGCGGATAGCCTTGCATGAAGGCACGTCAAGGGCCGTACTTGACGCACCTTGCTGCGACCTTCCGATATATCAATGGCGTAGACATCGCGATCACGTTATATATGTATAGCAATTATTAAGATTTGTAGTCACAATTGGAAAATAATTTTAACCGTCTATCTTATACGTGATACATCTAATTGACTGCGGAGTGCAGACAGCTGATTCCAAATTAATTGACAAATTGAAACAGTGATGACAGTGACTTTCCATCGTTGTCATCATGTTTCGTTTAATATTACATTAAATAATATTAGATTTAATATTAGATTACCGCATCTTTGCGATCCTTTTCCTATAAAACTATCGGGCGCAGACAACGCCCTGTTAGGAGCAGCGTCATTCCTTCTGCGAAAATGAAAAGTGGTCGGGTACGAGAGCCGCGCTCGATCTCGCGCTCGGTATCCGAGAAACATGAATTGTGTTTTGCCCTCGCGGTCTCCGTGGGGAATTCTCGAGGCACCGGCCACGTGACACGGCGCGAGAGAAATGCAACCGACGGCTCCCACGATCACGGGCGATGGCTTCTTTCGACGTTAAACGCATCCACGGCCTTCTAAGGATGCGCCTGGTATTAGCATCGGATGACAGAAATGGCTTTATAGCTGACGCGTAAATAAATAAATTCGATAATAGCCTGAGGGATCAGGATGTCCTTCCTTTGGACAATTCGAAATTTCCAAAATGGATCAAGGTCGATAGAAATCGAATAATCGAAGATGATTAATTCAGATATTCAATTTTATCACGCGACTAGATGTATTCATGCTTGCAAACTACATTGCAAAACTAATTTAAATTTCGTATGAGTGATTCGCACATTATAAATGTATATCAAACAAGACAATGCTTCGTATAAATTTTGCGTAACGCTTTTATTTAATGTAGCAAGTTAGTATGATGACAAAGAAATAGAAAACGCGATCCGTTATTTATATCTTCTATTGGGGAGCATGCATTAAGTTTTTTCTAATTAATATTAGAAAGAACACGTCGATTACTACCTCGTAAAAATCACGTTTCCTAATTTAGACTATCAATTACACCGTACTACCATTTCTGTAAGATCGCCGCGCCGAATCGAATGCTTTCACGTAATCGTACGGTCGATCACTCTCGACTGCTTCTCAAAGAAAGGCTTTACCGGAATTACTACAACCAGTTAACCCGAACGAAGAAGAGCAGCAGATATTATCGAAGAGGCTGCAAACGACTCGCTGAGGTGTGGAAACGGCACAAGAAACTATAAGGGAAGCCGGTATCGTAAACAGATCTCCCGCGACCCGTAGCCGTTATCCGCGACAGGATCTCGAAGGAGAGGCGACATCTCCACCGGTAATGCTCACTCTCATTCGCGCGCGTTTACAGCCGCGTTTTACAGTTTCACGCTCGCCAGCAACAATGAGCGACGCTGATCGTCGTTCGCGCGATCCGCGATAATAAACGAGCTGTGCGACCTGGAGAGGAACGACCCGGGATATGACGACCGATTGCATTAATAACGAATGATAAAAGAAGAAATCTGAAATTCCACGATAATCGAGAATTTATCGGTGTTAAATCAAGCGACTATATTGATCGTCGTGAAGATAGGAAAGTAGATATATAGATGTACAATTTTTTGTTTGGAAGATAAGTAGATGTAAAAGCAGTCGGATTTTATAAATTTCGATATTACACGTACCCTTCGATAAAATGAAGCATCTTATTAAGATAAACGCGACCTGCAAGCAAACTACAGAAAAGATTAATTATGAGTTAAATTATATAATGTGATATATTGTGTTAAGAAATATATATATAGTTAAAGGGAAACCCTTGTGAACGTGATTTAAAGCGCATTGTAAATTCAACAACAAACAAAGAGTTGCCACAACATGTTCGCTCACATGAGTAAAAGTCGCCGGTCGTCGTTCGCGAAGATTCTCACGAAGTAAGGTGCTCGGGACACCCCTTTATGGGCGCGACCAACGCGGGGGACCCCCTTCTTGACCGAGGCTAAGGGGCATCACTAATAAATTGGCATTGCACGCTATCTCGCCAGGTCCGTAAATGGGGTGCACTGAGAGAGGAGTGCACCGGCAAGAAAATTTACCGGACGGCCGGTTTCCGAAGCCGTTAAGGCACGAAGCATCTGTACCTCGGCTTCGTCTGGGCTTTCTTCGGGACCGATGAGTAACGAAAGAAATGTCTGTTGTTATTAGAAATCCTGTGAGTCTCTCTTTTCTTGAGGAAGC